CCCCGCCCCCTTCCTCTTTCTTTCAACTTAATTTTATTTTTCCTGACTCTGACAGCCTCCTTGGACTTATTTCAGAGCCAAAAAAAACCCAAAACGTGGGTTGAGACATCCTTATTTGTAAACTTCTTTTTTTCCCAAATATTTTTATTTGTATGATAAACCATTTAAGAATTAGCTAAAAAACCAAAGCCCCAAAATACTCAGCAAAGTAACAGTGAACAGAAACACCCTCTGCTGCAGTGAGGTGACATTCAAGGACAAGTGGCCTGTACACGATCAAGACAAACTAAATAGCCACCTACCGCCCAGTGACTGATTTTCTGCTAGGTAAGTAGTGAAATATGATGCAAGTTTTTCCATTGTCTTTTTCATGGGGGATTTTTTTTTTTAAAAGGAATTCTAATCTTGAATATTTTTAACTCTGTAGTCATTAACACTTTTTAGGTACAAGGCAAAAGCCGTGGAGTTAAAAAAATTTTGTTAAGCATGTGTGCCAGAGAATACATTTTGTTTGGCTGAGGATTTGTGTAGTCCTATGAAAGAGGACTTAAGGCTTTTGAGAAAGGGCTTTCCTACAATTTTATTAACAAAGTAAAGAATGACAAAGACAGATGATTCTGAAAACCTAATTAGAGGACTCCTTGCTAGGGGGATGAAAATTCTGCAGTGGAACTAATCAGGAATTTTTCCTACACATAGGGCACACTGGCCATGTATGCATAATATGTATGTTCATGCATTTTATAGTGTTATTTAAAAACTGTCCACATTTAACTTCACAGTGAGAATAAATGTAAACACTTTTCATCTTTTGCTCCAAGAAAAAGTGTGGAATATATGAATTTATAGCATGTTCTCCCTACATCAAGAACCGCAGATCCAACTACACAGGCCAAAGGGCTTCCTCCGAATGTGTTAAAGTGAAGGTTTTGAGCCAAGGAATTTGCAATCTCTAAAAGAGAAAGAAGAACAGTAATTACACGTACGGTTGCCTTACATTTGGTAACAGTACTTACCTGCTTTAACTCAACTGCTAAATTTCCTGTGCCATCAACCCCGATTCTACTGGTGACAATGCAACAGGATGATTTTTACTTTTTTCCTGCAAGTAGTCTGTGCGAAATATGACTATTTCCAAAAACTATAGTGTCTAGCAGATGCTAAAACCAGACTTTTTAAAAAAAGTCACACTTGTAACATCAGCTGTCAGCTGTCCCCTTAAACTGACATCTGCACATTTTCTTCCCCGGATTCAGCCCGTCGCTTGTATGAACAAGCAGCTGGCCAGCACACTGCCCTTAGGCACTGCAGTGCACTCGTTAGTAAAACAGCCAGTTCTGTGAGGATTTCCGAGATCTATTGCCAGCTCTGCCAATGACTCACAAGATCATCCCTGCCTCAGTTAGACAACTAACCCCACTGAAATTAAGCTTTGAGCTGGTACAGCACAGCACTTGGTAAAACAACTAAGTAATGAGAATCCAATTAGTTTGTCAAAAGATAGATTGAAACGAAGGTTATTAATACAGCTCAGCTGTTTGAACACACATCTCTCCAGCAAGTAGTTATGGTATGGTGTATGTTGTAACCATTCTATTTTAGAACTTAGCAGGACAGAACACTTATACCTTTTGTTGTGACAACAGCTGCCATTGGAAAGCCATTACCAATTCCTTTTGCCAAGGTAACAATGTCAGGGACTACACCATGTGTTTGAAATCCCCAGAAATGGCTGCCTGTCCGTCCAAACCCTGTCTGTACCTTCCAAAAGAAAAATCCAGAGAAATCCCCATCACTTACATTTGACAATACAGTTTTTGTCTTTCTCTTGTTACTGATTTGCATTAAACTGCAACTACATCTGGAGTCAACTTGTATTAGGATCTTTTTTAAGGTGGCTTTGCACAAAATACTATTTATTGTAAATGGGGTTTCCTTTCACACCTGGAAGAGGTAATGTCATTTTGGTGAGATGCTCAAGTAAGCTGCAGCTTCCATTTCAAAATGGAGAGGAAAGGCAGCTGCCTGCCACCTTTCAAAAGCAGCCCGATGGGTGATTTGTATTAGGTAAGGCTTGAGGTCAGTATCACCACCTCTTGGAAGCATTTGCTCCTATTTCAAACTAGCTTAGCTTAGCAAATTCTGTTTATACATTGTTTTTGCAGAGGTATGCAGTCAACTCCCAGAGTTCACGCATGCCAACAACACGCACACGAGGAAGTGTTACTGTGACAAACCTCAAACCACCGCATCGCTGGCATTTATTAGCTGCGTATGTGTGTAAATTTACTGCTCCCAGAAGGTAAGGGCTGAACTCTGCTGCTAACATAACCTGTGTCTAAGATCAGAACACCACACAGCAGAATAAAGGCAGTGTAAACTGGGAGGCTCCTGTGCTTGGGAAGATGCACTGTGTTAAACTCAAGCTATGAAATGTATAGCATTTCATTTACATCATTTCCCGGCTTCCAGTTTGCCTTCATGTGGATTCTTTTACGAGGACTCTCAGAGGTACCTCAAACTCCAGAACTCTTAGGTAAAAAAAACAACTCACTTCATCTGAAATACAAATGCCTCCTCTTTCCCGTACTAGTTGATAAGCCGCCTTTAAGAAATTTCTTGGGTACTGAACAGCTCCATTAACACCCTGCCAAGACAAAAACAGACAGTGTCTTCAGGAACAGACAGGGAATCAGGAGTTCTGCTGTGCGACAATCCTGTAGTAAGAAAAAATATCAGCAGCCCTCAGGTAATAGCAAGACTGTTGCCTCAGGTTTCTGGCTTCAGCACTGAAACTGCTTCATAAAGCTGCTGCTGAGGTCACTCATTCCCATTCCACAGGGCAGTTTGCTGTTCCGTTAGTTGTACTGGTACAAATTTGTGAGACCATACCGTGAACTGGGTCACTGTAAGACAGAGTCGGTGAAAGATAAACTGCCATAAAAATTACCTTGAAAACCTACACACTGAGAAACCCAGAAACTGTGTTTGATGGCAGAGTTAACCAGAGAATTCACATCCCTTCTTCGGTTAATTACAGTTTCCTCAATTTCTGTTCACCTTGGCAACTTCCATTTGGATCAGAAATTCCACTCGATACCTGGACTGCAGTGGTTCCTTAGAATTAAGTATGCAGAGGCTTACAAGACAGCAAAACAAAAACAGCTCAAACTTTCTCTGTGGCCATGCATCTCACTTTTTTCTTGCCTTTCCTGTTCCAGGGATATATTCCCCATTCTTCCTATTTAAGAACCACATACACAGTGGTTCTGGAACTAGGGTGAAGCATCAAAAGAATGAATCCTGTGGCTACCACTTGCTGGAGGGCTGCTAAAAATGTAGCAGACAGCATGGCTGGGAAGAAGTGGAAGAGGGGTTGAGTTAAAGTTTACAGAAATAGTAAAGGGAAAAGAAGTTTGAAATTTAGAAGGCGACATTAGAAACTAAACAGTACCATACATCATATTGTTTACTTAAATGCAGAAAAAATGTGTTTATGTGTAATCATTACTCCCTGTTTTAACTTCATGAGCAAAATTTTAGGTCCTCTGAAACTGGTGACAAAAGCTGAAATTTTAAGACAGCGCATCCATTCTTTCAAGTATTTCAGGGGTTTAAGGCATTAAAGATAGTAAAAGTCAGCAGAAGTCTATGTTTAGGATGTAGCTGAAGAATATCAGATTTGAGTGTTTCACACAATTTGTGAAATGGCAAGCCACCTACTTGAATTGGTTCAGCGATAAATCCAGCTATTGACTTTGGCACGGCGGTATTCAGAGTATCTTTGAACTGTTCCATGTACTGGTCGTTTGCATGGCATGCACCTGTTTACAGGGGAAATAGTTCAAAGGGAATTTACTTACACTGACACAACTGGCTTCAAAACCCAAAATTACACATCTAAAAAACACATACTATCCGACTGCATGGAAAATATCCCTCAAATACACCATGAAGGGCTAAACATTAAAGGAGGGAGTCCCTTATTTCCTCTTCATCCATCTGTAGTCTAGGGAATGTCAGTTCCGAAACAGCAAGACAAAGCTGCCAGACTGTGTTACACATTTTACAGGTCAGTATAGCTGTAGGTTAGAGAAAGTGTTTGTGAATCACCTATGTGAGCAGAGGGAGTAAGCAGACACTTTTCTCAGTGGTTAATAAACATCAGCCTAAGACACAGAGAATCAGTAGGTTAGTGCAGGCCCGGGGATTCTGGAGAACACGGCAGCACATCAGTCTGTACTGAAATGAAGACCAGAGCAATTAGTACAGCTAATGCTCCCGTTCACTAGGGAGGGCAAAGCTAAAAAGAAAACATTATTATGCATGCATGTGAACTAAAACTCTAAGGGGAGCCTGTTGAAACAGTGGGAAAGAATTCCTGTAATTGTTGACAGGAGAGCAGTAGAGGAGCTGTCACACTGAGCTGTGTATGGAATGTTTTGTCTCATATATGCCACTCTGCCACCAGCTTCAGGTTGTGCTTACTATTCATATTCTTGCAAAACAAAAGCTGGAGAGCTGTCAAAACTTCAGAAACGGCACAAAACACCAATCGACATTTCTGTTCTTGCACATGTGCTAAACCGAGTCCCACAGCTTCCAGAGCTGAGCATGACAAATGCTGGAAACAAAGGCTGGAGTTTTAAGAAGAAATCTGGGAATACAAGGTGTCACTTGCCCAAATTTTTGCTCAGTGGGAAGCAGGCACCTGAGGTTCTCTGCAGTATTTTCTTTGGTTGCCCTGGCAGATCCTAACCAGACGTCTACCTTTCTCACGGAGGTAAATATAACCCATTTCTACAGCCCCCCTCTAGTATTCTCTAATATAAAAGGCAAGTACTTTTTGTCCCTGACCCACCTTCAGAACAGCTGCATTTTCGCACAGTTTGCACTGGAGAATCTCTACAACGGCTGCCTCCCCACGGACCCCGGAAAACATCTGGTAACATTGTCTGTCAGGCATAAGAGGAACAGCTACAGATTTGGTGATGGCTTTCTGAGGGGTGTTTTGATCATGCTTAGGGGTCACCAATGAAACAAACTAAAAGCAGTCTGTTAGAGTCAAAGGGCATACCCAGTTCAAGCAACTTGTCTGAAGAACATTTGTGGAGTAAGACCAAACTTTCCCTCAAGAAATGGTGGAACAGGGATAGTTTTGGAACCAAGTTTAGACAATTCCAGAAACAGTCACTCAATTGATGATTTCCTTTGCTTTATTCTTTAAAGTCTGCAGTTTTGGTTATTTAAGATAAATAGCAACATTTTTAGAGTTGCTGGTAATACTTCAATAATCCAAAGTATGGCAAAAATCTGGAAAATACAGGGAGGCAGGCAGATCTAGTAGAGTAATTACAGGCTGGAAATTGGGAACTCCAGCCTTCTAATCCTGACTGCTGAAGAAATACCACATAACTTCAGGCAGCTCATCTACTGAACCAGCCTGGGAGGCTGCTATAAAGGAGCCTTCCTATGGCCAGTGCTGTGGCCGAGCTGTCCGCAGTGCAGGTCAGAGTAGCCAGTGACAGCTTCTAGCGGACAAAGACATTTCCATATGCAATTTATCCCCAGTAGATCTCCTCAGCAGATGTGTCTCCTGTCTTTCTGGAATGAGGGACATCATAGAGTTTTTTGTCATCGCAAGGGAGGATCTACTTCAGACCAGCTGAAAGCAGCTTTGCACAAATTAGCCAAAACAAACTTGAGAAAAGGAGTTCTAGGCATTATTTTGCACCTTACATAGATTCCAGGCAAGCACCAAGCATGACTACATGCTTCATGGCTGTCCTGACTCCAAATCAGCATAAGTAACTACATGCGTAAGGAAAAAGGGGACTCTGGCTTTTCCTGCTCTGACACAGCAGGAGCAGCTACACTGCAGTTTAGTAAGTGACCATAAGGCACTTTGAGGATAGAAAACGTGCTAATTGTTGAAACACTCAAACAGACCGTTAGTTACCCAGATTATTTTAAAAAAATAATAAAAATCTCACTGTTGAACAGCCAAAGCCATTGGCAACACCATGCTTATAAAGACCAATAGATGTCACTCCCAGCGTGTAAGGGCTGGCTCCATGGTATGCTCCTCTGTGCAAACAAACAGAGCACATGAACATCACTCATTTCCAAGAAGAGACTGTATCAGTATTAGTTCTGAGAAGGCACGCTTCTGAGCTATAAATTATCAGGGAAAAATGCACAGTTACACTCAAAACACAAAGATTCCTATTGCCATTTCCTGCTCTGGTTTTGTAAGATCCATGACTGCCCATCTGCACGGGTTTCCTGAAATTTCAAATGTGAAAATTGTGAGGTAATGTTTCCAAGGAGAAGAGAACAATGATTGGAACCAACAGCAATTCAGCCAGTGCCTCACAAAGTTCTGCTGTAGCACCTGAGCCCTGCGGAGCAAACATCTCTGTCCTTTGAATCTTGGGAACTGCTGCTCTCTCCAACAGATGCTGCCAGTCATTAAACTACACGGTGGTTTGCCGCCAGCGTTATACAGAGATCAGAAGTTCATTAATTAGTATATAGAAGCAAGGTGGGTTCCCAATGTTCTGCTGAACAGGATAACAGAAGAGTACAGCTCTTCATAACAAGGCCTCTTATTCTAATATTTTGAGGCCTCCTGGGATGCATGGTAAAGAGAACTGCTTGGAGTGGTGCTCACATAGCACTCACCCCTGCGCCACCTCTGTCCTTAAGCCAGAAGAGCTGTTTGTGTACCTGTGCAGTGAACCATGGTTCAGGGATCTGGCAGGAAAATAAGGCAGAAAAACAAACAGAACAAAAAAATCCTTC